AGTTTGGGGCAAGAGCACTGCCACTATTCACAGCTATTGGATCACAGCATTATCATTTATGAGTACATCGGTACTGCGGTAGCACTTAAGTGTATAAAAACTCATAAATATAACAATTCATAAATATCTTCAATGCTGTTTTTGCTCTAAGTTTTTCATGTAGGTGAAGAGTAAGTGTATTTCTGCTATGGCAGAATCACTCCACAACTAAAACCCATTTTTCTTTAAGATTATTTGAGTCGTAACTCTCCCTGCCAAACCTGGCAATGTGGCAAATGGTGTAAGGAATGAAGTTCTACACCTGGGCATCTTTAGTCCCAGTTACAGGAAACAGACACTATTCAATGACATGACTGATGCTTTGGGTGAGAGTTCCATGAATATTCTCATTGATGGTACTGCATTCCATCTACGGGCATTTTTAGTCCAAGCCCATGTGCTACTACATGAAGTTCGCCAGCTGATGAGTTGAGATGAGCTCCATGATATCCACATTAGGACATGTCACTAGTAAGTTCTATGACTCTGGAAAAGGTTTCGTTAGGAGACTTCTCAGTCTAGGACCACCACATCTTCGTCATCGTCACTGGAGGCACCGCCATTGAGCTGAGATAAATACTCCTTGGCTAATATTTTTCTAGGAATGATATCTGAAAGAAAAATAAATTGAGAAAAAAATTACTTAATACTATGGTTACCATTGATATCATTAAAGGTAATTTATATGAGGCTTTCCCACCAAACAAACTTTCCTTGGGGCTAAAAAAACAATTTTCTTCTTCTCATAAATCTTGCTTGTCCATTCCACGAACTTGGATTTGATGTACACGTTATATTACATATTAACAGAAGTTCATCACATTTCATTAAGATTAAGCAGCATATGACATTAAACATTTAACACATTGACACAACAACATGAAACAGACCTCATAAAATTATATAACCATTTCCTGCAGTACAAGATCAATCTCCATTGTCAGTGATTGAGAGCAGTGTCATTAACACCTTAGTGAAGCAATATTTTTCATACAAACACACATCAACACTAACGTGTGTTAAAGCTGGCATTATGAGTTGCTGTGTGATAAGTGAAAGTATAATAAAAGGGATAAAGCTCAATTAAGTCACACTGCAGCAACAATCAAGCAGAAATTGAAAGTTCTAGTTGCAGCGGGTTGAAAAAGAGACTAACGTAAGTCTCTGAAGCTGGGACAAACATGTTAATTAAAAATTAAAGACTTACATTTTTCAAAAATTGAAAATTTCTTAGAAAACCAACAAATAATTATTTCAAAGATAAGAATACTGGAAGACACTTGTATAAATCTGACAACCATCCAACATGTGGTGGTTTAAAAAAATTTCTTTTGGGGGGGGAGGGGCTGAACCCCAGAACATTAATAGTAAATGCCACAATGTTTCCCTCATCCACAAACGATAATGTCATGAAATTGATTGTCAACCTAAAAACCTTTAGAAATTAAAACCCTTTGGAAACTTAGAGTGAAAATCCACAATAAGATTCTGATTATATCATATGAAACTATCCCCAGGTATGATAATCCTAGTTAGAAGGATTAATTGCATATTTTCTCATTTAAAATGACATGAAGTGTACCACATCAAATATTATTCTGTTTGCTCCAAGATTTAAGAGCCTAATCATATGCAAATAATAGAAGTCAGTGTAAAGAAATCCAATAGCAGTTACATTAGCTTGCTATTCTATACACTTTGTGGTAGACACAGATCTTTCAAATGAGAATGTAATGCAAACTATAATGCTGAATCAATTAGAACAATATTTTTTCAAACACCAAATATGTTCTACATCATGAGAGTAGCCTTTTGGAGCACCATTTCCTGAATATAAACATACTACTGAAGGCATCAATAATGTGTAATTTTGTAATTATAATCATCAATAAAGGGCAAGTCTGAGGCCCAGAGCAAACTCAAAACTTAATGTAGGTGTGTGCACTGATCTGTCTCTTTCTCTTGCTAAAACCATTATCAGACAAAAAAAAAAAAAAAAAAAAAAAAAAAAAAACTAGTACATCATTATATCTACTGAAATTTGGTGAAAAAAACAAAAACAAATGATTAATCTTTGTTTTCATTGTTTAATCAATTAATTTATTTATCATCATTGTGTGTGTGGCAGCATGCATGTGTGTGTGCTTGTGTGCGTGCCCACATACGTGTGTGTCTGGTTTCTCGTGTTATCCAACTTTACGAATCAGTTTAAGATGTTTTACTGAGGTCGAGTTAATCTTACACAATCCATTGATATCCCATATGAGTGTGGAAAATATCGATTCTTTTTATGAATTATTTCCCCACTCTATCAATACACCTTCCAACCTATTGATCCTCGTGTAAACACTTTAATATCAGTATATTAGATACCTGTTAGAAACCATTATTGTTCAACATCAGATCTGCTCACTCTGTGACCTCATTGACTCTTGGAACATTTCTCAAAGTAAGGTCAATACCTTTGTTATTTTATACCTAATATATCTGTCAGAAACCATTCTTGCTGGCCATCAGATCTGTTCATTCTGCGCCCGACTTCACATGACCTCATTGACTCCAGGACCAATTCTTAATCAGAGTCAGGTTAATTGTTATATTATACCCATATCTAGGGTAGCACTGGGAATGTTTTTTTTTTTTTTTTTGCTTTGCCAAATCACTACTCTTTCATCACTATTTTTCTTAAAATGTCCTAAATTTAACTAAAAACAAGTCAAATCAACCCTGTTTTGTGTAGCCAATTTAAGTCGGTTTTAGCATAGGGCTGAAAAGGGGAGTTTTAGCACTAACTCGCATATAAACCTGCTTAGTACCTGACAGAAATGGTAGCAAGTTTCTTTGTCCTCTTAAGCAATGATAGAAAATGTCACCACTGCATTGGCAGGATTGTATCACAGCAGGCAGAACATCTAACAAAATGTGCTGTCAGAAATAGAGAGTTTTGGCAAGGCCTTCCGTACGACGTATAACGTGCGACGTCATCACTTTTTGCGTAGTTTTTCTCAAGGACAAGTCATAAGTCATACGGCACTACGTATGAATCGGTGATTACACGTAGGTAAGAAACGTATCGAATTTAATAGATTTACGCTTATTTCGTTCAAGTTTAACATACTGCAGAGGAATATATAGGGAGTTAAGATTCCACTGAATCACTTTTAGACGCTGTCGGTAGAAATACTCTGTGAAAACAGCTGGAAAAACAGCCAGTCAATCAGTCGTCCGTAGTAGTATCAAATTCAACTTAAGTTGATTTTTTTTCATAAACAACAGGATCTGCGGCATCAATTGACGTAAATAACACATTCCATTCAACATCTTAATTAATCATCTATCTAAAAAGAATCCAAATATTATAATATTTATATATAATATAAATAAAAATAATATTAAAAAAAACGCATACGGAGTGAGACCTGCCAAAACCACTGCTAGCTTTCTCGCGTACGTAAAACGTATTACGTATTGAACTATACGTTACACGTCATACGGAAGGCCTTGCCAAAACTCTCTAACGACAGAACAACAGACATACTGTGCTGCCAGAACTAAATGAACAGCTAGCACAATAAGCTGCCACAACTAACAAAACACCTCACATAAGTGATACCAGCAATACATTTTTTTTTTCAAACTGCTTTCTAATAATTACAATACAATGTCACAAGATACTTATCTACTGACCATGAACAAATAAATATATAAAAGATAAAAACTGATCGCTGAGCGGAGGCTGAGAGGGTCAGTATGATAAATCAAAGATAATGCTTGTCAATGCTTACCATGTAAAAATTCTAAATTATCATCTGTGTTCACAATTTCAGCCAGGTCTTTATAGTCAACTTTGTTCTCCTCTCTGCTTCTCTTCAGTGTTTCTACAGCCAGGTCCTGCACAAACAGCTCCTGTAAACAACAAATAGTCAGACCTGGACACAGGACACAAAGATTGAGTTCAGATTCCAATATCTTACCAAATGGATCTATCTAACTCTGCTGGGGATTAGCGCTAAAGTGCATTCTTAATTGTCTGACATGCCTCTTCGAGTAGCTACTTAGTAGTTAATTAGCTAATTACCCCTAGCAACTTGGGGAGGCATATCAGACATTTAAGCTGATTACAGTGATTGCACTTAAGGAGTATTTCTTGCAAGAGTTAAGATTGATCCAGCTTGTACTATGGGTTTGTCTGAATGCGCTCATAATGCATAGTTCCACCAATATTTATGTGTTAGCCACTATTTACTTTTTCTGATATTCAGTATGTGTGCTAACACATAACAAGACATTATTACATGGCAATACTATTGGTATTACGATTTTTGTGTTGTTCAAAGAGCTGTCGACAGTAAAATTGTTCCTTTTTCATCAGCATGGGACTTGAGGAGTTGAGGTAAGAGAAAAAAGAATTTGGTACTCAGTAGCTCTAGCATTGGAGTGGACTCATTATTCTTATTGGGTGTATTTAATTCAAAAATACTAGGTTTATCGACTTAAATCGGATTTTTGACTTTTTGATCAACTAGTGTGATATTCGAAAGACGTTTTATGTGAATTTTAGTTTCACTGAGTAAGATCTGCCTCTGTCAACAACAACGGGAAAGGGACGGTTAGTAATGACTTTACGATGGATAGTTGATGAGACAAGTAAAACTTACTGTTGCCTTTGCTATAAGAAACAGGCAATCTTGGCTTATGTTAGAAACATCTGGGGAGCTCTTCATTATCGTCTTAATCCTAGACAGAGGCAAAGAAATTTGTGCCGCCTTTTCTGTCTTTTCTTTGTCCGCCATTTTGACGCTATGATTTGCCTCGTGACAATTATTAAGAAAAATTGTGAATGATTAGACACCTTTACACAAGAATCAAAATCACTCAATTTTAATAATTTTCTGTTTAATTTAATTACGGATTTTTTAACAAAATACAAAATATTTTAATTTTCTTCGTTTGTCGATATGATGCGAGACAGCCACTTCGATGTCGAGGCTCCACATGGCCTTTTGCTTCCGGTTTCAAACCTGTGCAGTCGGTACGTGAAAGCTCTGCCAAATTTTTGTCAAATGTTTGAAATGACGGACAGAAATATTGAAATAACCAATTGCCTAGTTACAATTAATGCTTATTGTCATGTTTTTGGTAACTTAAAGACGTGTCTCTTCTCATGAAAAAGAAAAGAGTGCCCCGGCGTTTGGTTGTTTCACAAAAACTTGTGACACGTTTCAACAACATGCGGTGATTTTTTTTCTTGTCAAAGGTGGAGTAAAATAATGTACACCGGCGTAACATTTACACAGAGTTCAATTTTGATATTTAGTATCCATCTTCTTACTAAATCATAATCGTGGAGTACTTGCATAATAGAGATTGCTAAATTTTCAATATGCTGGGCGTGAGGTCATATTATCATTGTCAAAGTCTGGCATGACTATACAGGACTGTGGTTTTAGGTTCAGTTACCAGTTTGATTAAACAATCAAGGTGACAGAGAGGCTTGGATATGTGCGACCATGTTCTAAAGTAACGTGCCATTTTTTTTTTCTGTATACTCAGTACACAGTTCCCTCCCTAGCACCAGCAGACAATGGCAGCGCCAATGATGCAGGAGAAAGTGTGGTTTGACAAGTGGCGCTTTGATGATGCTGAGCGCATGTACCAGGAGAAACTGGCCGGCACCGCTGGTGCTCAGACGGGAGGTGCCAAGGCTAGTCCCACTAAGACAGGTGGACAACAGGTGAGAAAACAGGTGATCAGTGTCAATCCTGCATGATGCTGACTACAGACTTTTCTCAGATCTCAGTTTTTTTTGTTTTTTTTTTTTTGCCTTACTTGCTATGTTGGTAAGGCCTTGTTAGACCCTGTGTTAGAAACATCCGGAGGCCATAAATATCCACAAATTGAGGAAACTTCTTTGTCTCACACTGTAGTTTATATTCTCTGATTTAAATCCCTTTGTAGTGGTTCACACACCACATTTCAGTCTTTTTATTACACCTTTGCCCCACTTCTGCATGCCATTTGAAAATGAGAAATGGCCTCGAGAGTTTCTAACACAGGCTATCAAGATGCTTTACCTTTGTAGCATATAAGGCCGAAAACTGAGGCAAACTAAAGACTGATACTATTCCAAGGTTATGGAGAATCACACAGTAGGCCTGTAGCCAGCAATTTCAAATGTGTGAGTCTGAAAAAGTGTACTCTACCCCCTTAATTAATCAAACTTGAGAAATTCTATAGATCAAATTTTGAGTCAGAGTGGACCTATTCCATCCAAAGTGATGGTTCTTTCAAACCCCTCCTCCCATCACCTGTCTTCAGGCCTGCATAGCATATATAAAGCATCGGATAAATGGTATACTGGTATTTTAAGTGTATGAAGAGAACAGTACCAGCATCGTCTAATTGAAAAAAATCATATTTTTTTCTGATATTTTTCACAGAAAGTTTTTATTGAGGGATAATGGTTCAAAACTTCTGAGTTGTGTTGTAAAATGATGCAATATGTTCTACGTGTTCTACCTGTTCTGTTCTGTTATTTGACTCTGTGGTGAGAAAGGAAGGTAAAAAGGGCATTCAAACTTAAGGGCAACTTACTACCATTTATGAAAAATATTTTATTTGGTGAGAAATCATAATGTGGCAATAGGGTTCTTTTTTTTTACTATACATTTTGGTGATTTGTGCTCAGTTTTTCATACTTTTAAATTTTTACATCAAAAACATCTTGCTTTTGTATTACTGACCGTCATCTCTCAACTGCAGAGAGACTAATTTTTTGTGGACATTGTTTTGATCTTATTGTAGGGGTCTAAGCACAGTGAACTAGTGGATCAGATTATACAAGCTAGGCAGAGAATTCAAAACACATTAAAGTCAGATGTGAGTAATTTGTTGTTCAATGTATATCCATAGCATCTTTTATTTCATAGAATACTGTAATGTTATGCACTGAATATTTCAATCAAATTGTCATGAAAAGAAAAAAAAAATAGCAGTGACTCGCATCTTTCTCGGTGATCAACCCTGTGCTTCTAAGACCCCATATCTAGATTGATCTAACAGGAACGATCCATCTCCAATTTTGCCAAATTGATTTCAGCTTAAGCGGCTTTGATGTCTGGCATGCCTACTGAAGCTGCTAAATGACAAGAAATTACCCCCTAGCAGCTTTAGTAAGCATGATAGACATCTAAGCTGCCTAAGTTGATTGCAATTTAGCGAGAAACCCCTTGGAGATGAATCGATCATGCTGGATCGATCTAGGTATGCGAATGGGGTCTAAGCTTGGCATTTTATGTATATATTTCAGTGGAAGACTTACCTGATTTTTCTTCTGCCTTACCAAACCCTAGCTTAGCATATTCATTTATTACCTAGACTTCATCGTACTTTGTCCTTTTTATTTTGATGTCTTGTGTATTAGAATTGAAGAAGGTAGATTTTTTTTTTTTTTTTTTTTTTTTTTTTT